GTTCCTTCCTGTATTTGTGGTGACAGCCTCCTTTTAAACCACTCAGCTTCCTTAGTTCTCCGGCCACACTCTCTGTCTACACCCCAGGCTGAGTGTTCGTTCACTCCTGCACTCATCTAACTTGCCCTATGCCCAAAATGTGGGTGCTTCCCAATTCACATTTTTGTCCTTCCCTTCACATTCCTTCTTCCCAAAATCTCTATTCTGTTGGCTTCAGCAGTAACTTCTATGCCATTGACTTCTCTATCCATGTCAGTCTAAGCTGTCCTCTCCACTCCCCCATTAGACCAGAAATTCTACCATCATCTCTAGTTCACTATGCTCAAACCCTGGTATTTGTCTTCCTTGAAAAGTTCTCATCCTTTCTCACCATTTGCACTGGTACCATCCTGGCCCAGATCTTTGCTGTCTCCTGGGAGGACTACTGCCACAGTTCCCTTGGTCAGCTTGCCTGCCACAGTCTCCACCCTTGCAATACAGCTTGCTTAGTCTCCTCAAGTGCAATTTTCATCTTGTTTTCCTCTGCTAGGCAATTCCCTGCATTCTGCTGCTTCACATTTAGACTCCTCTGACCTCTCTTGACCACCAGGCTCACCCAAGATGATTTCCCATGGCTTCAACATTTACTTGTATTTGCACCTGTAGTCCCAGCTGCGCAGAGGTCAAGGCAAGAGGATTGCTTGGGAGTTCAATATAGTGAGACCCCATCTCATACAAACAAATGAACAAAAACACGCACTTGTACCCTAGTACTACAGAAGGCTAATTGCCTCTCTGCAAAACTGCACACATTCTCATCTTCATACTTTGGCTTGTTATCCTCTCAGCCTTTTATTCTCTTGAGTCTTACCTCTTCCTCGCAAGTCAAATCCCATGTCCTTTGGAAAGTTCTCTCAGACCATTTCAGCTTCTATTCATTTCTTTGGAACCCTAAGGAGAGAATGACAGAAAAGCGGTCAGAGTCAGAAATGCAGGATGGGCTGTCACCCCCCTGCCCCCATTCTTAGCATCTGTGTTTATATTTCCTCCATTTCTCACTCCCTCATCTCAGAACTTCTAAAAATCAGCATCTGCACCACTCAGAGCCGTCCTGTTGTATTAGCTGTTGCTTTCTGTCTTTTACCGGTTACTTCACAAGGCTGATGAGAGCAAAGGCCACATCTCATCTTTCCTCCCTGTAACACCTGTACCACTTAGCACAATGTGAAATAATTTTTGCTTGATTCACTTAATAAAGTTTCCCAGTAATTTAAGAGAAATGAAGAGAAACCAAGTTTCTAAAACTTACTATGGTATTGATACTAGTTTTCTAAGCTAAAAATACTCCACCACAGATAGAGTCTGCAATATGAATTTTGAAGGTAATTTTGTCAATCGTGTGATCAAAATTTAATTATCAGGATATTTTACAGTTATGTTAATTCTCTGCAATCTTTGTTTTTTTTAAACATGTGCCTAATGTCGCAATAACCAGTATGAATTATATTGGTGGTCCTGGAAAAATTTTTATTTAGCTATGTGAGTGAATGTCATTCTTTTTGTCTTAATCACTATATGTCACATAAATTGATGCTGAACCCAAGCTAATTTCTGAAAATAGAATTTATTGACATTCAAAAACCTAAAAACTCTCAAATGCTTTATTCTAACAGTCTTAAAATTACTGACTACACTGGAAATAATAGTAAAAGGCAAATAAAACTTGATTTCTTTTATAAGGACAACATGAAGGGACTGGAATTTAAAAAAAATAACCTGAAAAAGTCACCAAATATCAATCCTGAGTATTTTCTGACAATCTACTCTAGTCAAGAAAATACGCATAGAAGTTTAACACTGAAGGTTCATGTGAGCAAGGATGGGTGGCTTGACTCTCAGCACTTTGTGAGTAAGCAAGAAGCTCTAACATTCACAACCAAAATGGGCCCTTTGATGGAGGGAGTAGATAAGAGAAGAGCTGTCACTATGGGTAGGCCAAGAATATATGGACCATGATTGAGACTGGTTGATTGTTTATTGAAGAAAAGCTCCCAAGAGTCATAGTAGTTTTTGTATTATTTGTGCCTCCTTAACAGAAACTCAACTTGGTCTACATAAAAAATAGTAAGTTGGGAGCTGGGTGTTACAAGGATTGAGGGGTTTCACAGAACCCAAAGGCAGAGTGCAACTGGAGTCTGGAAGGAAGTGAAACCAGCAACTGACAGATGACAGAGTCGAGGAAGTCCTCTTGGTCCATGTCTGCTTCCCCTTTTTCGTGTCCTTCTGTCTCCTTTCCATCTGAAGCTTTCTTATCTTCAGTTTTCAGTCCACAAAGTAGGCTGTAATTGTAGGACGCATGAAGAGATAAACTTTACTCTAGAACCTAAATTCCTGGGTGAGAGCATAATTGGCTCATGTAAATCAGATTTCCAGAGCTCAAAGAGTCAACTGTGGCCATGGACTAGATTATTTACGTAAATATGGCTGCCCGGAGGCTGCTTCTGTGGTTTTTCTTATAACAGGATTTTAAACATAATGCTGAAATGTTCAATTTTATGACCTGCTCTAAATTTTGTTAGAGTCAAGGGAATAACTAAGCCTACAAAATAAATACAAAATAAACTTAAAGTGACAGTAGGTGACAGAAACAAATTGGTTTCATAATTATTTCCTTGAGTCATGCTTGTTGAAAATTAAAGTTACATTTTGGATAGAAGATTGTGAAATGTGAAATTTCCATAAAAGAAGAATCATTATGAGTTTGGCAGATACTCCAGAAATAGATGTCTATTGGAAGTGCAATTTGGATGTAGCTTACAGTTAAAATGTATGTCTTCAGAAAATGCAATTGCAGAAGTCATGAAAATATGTTGAAATGAAAGCTAGCATTGTAAGAAAACAGAAACAATTGAACCTCAAGGAGTCTTCAAAAACAAATTATGTGCAAATTAATGTTAGGTTAAAAATGCATTATACAAATTTTATGACATCATATGCAAAAGATTAGGAAGACAGACCCTGGCATTTGTAATTTCTGAGTTGTGTAATCATAGTTAATTTTTGTTTCTTTTACACATTATTTTTGGAGCTATTATTGATGAAAATATGTTGCTTTCATAATTTAAAAAGATTATTTTTATAAAAAGAAAAATAATACCCCTGCAATAAGACCATGACCATATTAATGCAAACAGTGCTTTGATTAGCTGATACTACATTAGAAATGTGTAAATAGAAAGGGACAACATTTTAGATGACCAAACTGGACAAAATAAACACTGAATAACATCCAGGTTCCTTTTGCATAAACTTTTTCCATTTAAATATCCAGTTGTCCCAGCACCTTTTGTTGAAAAGATTTTTCTTTGCCCACAATAGATCACTCTGTTGTAGCTGTTGGAAATTAATTGGCTGTGTAAGTGTGTCTATTTCTGGACTCTCTATTCTGTTTCACTGATATTTGTTAGTCCTTATGCCTGTACCATATTGTCTTGATTAGCTTTAGTAACTTGTGAATGAAGATAGTGTAAATCTTCCAACTTTCTTCTTTTTCAGTTTTGTTTGGGTCTTCTAATCCATGAACATGGTCTATAACTCCATTTATTTGGGGTGTCCTTAATTTCTCTCAACAGTGTTTTGTAATTTTTAGTGTAGAGGTCTTGAATGATATTGTTTAATCTTTTTCTAAGTATGTTGTCTTTTTCTTATTGCTATTGTAAATAGAACTTTTTTTATTTTCCAGTTGTTTGCACTGGCACATAAAAGAATAATTGGCTTTAGATCACTGATCATGTATCTATCCCATAACATTATTTAGATTACCAAACTGGTAGTCTAAACTGGTTTTAGTGGTTACTTATGGATTCCTTAGAATTTTCCATATCAGAAAACACTATAATCTGATTTCATTATCTTGCCCTATTCCCAGTGGCTAGGAATTCTATTACTACACTGAGAGGATACCTCTTTGTCCTATGTCCAATCTTCTCTACATTTAGTCTTTCACCACTGAGCTTTATATTAATTATAAGATTTCATAGATACTCTTCGTTATGCCAATGAAGTTTCTTTTTATTCTTAATTTGCTTAGAGTTTGAAGTAGTTTTGTCAAATGCTTTTTTTTCTTTTTAGAGACAGAGCCTCAAGCTGTTGCCCTGGGTAGAGTGCCATGCCATCACAGCTCACAGCAACCTCCAACTCCTGGGCTTATACGATTCTCTTGCCTCAGCCTCCCAAGTAGCTGGGACTATAGGCACCCACCACAACACCTGACTATTTTTTGGTTGTAATTGTCATTGGTGATGGGCAGGCCCAGGCTGGATTCGAACCTGCCAGCTCTGGTGTATTTGGCTGGTGCCTTAGCCACAGGTGCTGAGCCATATCAAATGCTTTTTATACATTTGTTGAGCAGATCCTGTGATTTTGCTCCTTTATTCTGTCAATATGATGAGTTTTCTCAATTGACTTTTGAATTTGAAACCAACCTTGCATTTCTGGAATAAAATCTGGTACCTTGGCATAGTGTACCATTTTTCTAATATATTGCTAGATTTTATTTGGTGGAATTTTATTAATTTTTATCTCTGTGGTTTTAAAGCATTCTGCTTTGTAATTTCTTTTTTATTTTTTTTTTTTTTTTGAGACGGAGCCTCAAGCTATTCCCCTGGGT